CCTGCCTCCTTCTGGGTCAGGCTCCCCACAGGCCCGCACCCCCGCGCCTGTGTGCCGTGCTCAGGCCAGCAGGGTGGGCGGCCCTTGCTTGGGGTGGGCGCCTCTCCAGCACCTTCCTTCTGCCGAGGCTCCCGGTGCCGCCGCCTCTGCCCGGAGCCGGCCCTAGCCCGGCACGGGGTGCTCCCGTCAGGCTCGGCCGCTCCCGTGGCCATGCCTTGCCCGCCCAGGCCCCGTACGCCCCCTCCCATCCCCGGTCCGCTCACCTTGGCCCTCTGGGAGTGTCCCCGCCTGGCAGGAGGTGCTGCCAGCCCCTCCCCCGTCCTTCCTCCCCGCGCCCCGGTGGCCTGGCCTCTCAGATGCCGCTGTCACCAGCGCCCCCCACTGCCGCCCTGCTGGTTTGTGATGACGAGCACCAGGAGAGCTGGGGCGGCACAGCCCCGCTGAGCAGAGGTGGGGGGGCACTTCCCGGAGAAGCGGCCGAGGCTTCCCTGGTGGGAGCTGGCGTCAGCGAAGGTGGCCCAAGGCCCAGCCTTGTGTCGGAGGCGGCCGAGGGCACCAGCGCCTGACTCAGTAGAAGCCAGCGGGGTCGCCTCACAGAGCCAGGCGCTGGATGGACTGACGGGACACTGAATGGCCTGGCACGGGGGCACACGCTGTCATCCTGGCGCTTTGGGAGGCCGAGCCCGGAGGCTTGCCTGCGCCCAGGGTTCGAGACCAGCCCGGGCAACTTGGCGAGACCCGTCTCTGCAATGAACGAAAAAATTAGCTGGGCGCAGTGGTATGCATCTGCAGTCCCAGCTACTTGGGAGGCTGAGGCGGGAGGATCGCCTGAGCCCAGGAGGTTCTAGGCTGTGGTGGCCATGAGCATGCGCGCTCCAACCGAGGAGACAGAGACCCCAACCCAAGTTCTTTTAAGCGCTGGAGTCTGGCGCTGACTCTTCAGCACACGGCAGTTTCCCTTGGGCTCCGCACACGAGGGCCGCGCCGTGGAGACGCTGTCCCTGAGAGGCTGTCACGTGGGTCACATGGGTCCACACCACCGGCCCTCAGTCTGGAAATCGGAAGTCACCCGTGAGAGTATTTCCACAGGCCAGAAGCACCTGTTGACAGCACCCACAAGAACACACAGCGGCCTAGGCTTGGAGGGACAAACAAGTCACTCTGTCCCCAGAGAACTGGCCACGGGCCGGGAGTGGGGGGACAGGAGAGCCTGGGGGCCGCCTTGTTCCAGCGTAAGGGGACTTCTCACGGAGCTTTCCCGGGACAGCCAGGAGAAAACCCAGTGGGCACGGCCTCTCCAGGTGGCGGCCGCTGGCCTGGCAGGGTCTGTGGGTTACACCCCGAGCCGGGAGACCCTCCCATGGCCACCCCTGCTGGCCGGGCCAAGTCTGCCCCCGGCCAAGGGCCGCTCAGGCAGCCGTCCTGGGCCCCCTCGGTGGTGGGTGTGGTGGGGCAGGAGCCCCGCTTCCCCGTGGGGGCTTGGGCGGTGGCGCGGGCCTGGGAGGGCTTGAGGGGTCCTGGACAGGAGGCCTCGGCCCGGCCCGTCGCCTCTGCATTTCTCGCCAGCCGAGTTTGCGGGAAGATGAGGGAGCCCAGGCGGGGCGTGAGACCGAGGCTCTGCCCGGGCCTGCAGGACGGGCGGTGAGGGCAGCCGAGGAAGGGCCGTGCCCGCGGGCGCGCAGCTGCGCTGAAGGCTGCCTTTTCTCTCCGCAGGGGAAGGTGGAGGTGGAAGCTGGGAAGGAAGGCATGAAGTTCGAGGCGAGCGCCTTCTCCTACTACGGCGTGATGGCCCTCACGGCCTCTCCAGGTGCGTCCCGCGGCCACCCGTCCCCGCGCCCCCTCTCCGAGCTCTGCGTGGGCGCCTACCAGCATGCGGAGAAGGGCCCGGGTCACGCGCGGGTCTGCCTCGTGAGGTCACGCGTGCCGCACGGTGATGCCAGGCGGGCAGCGCCTGTCGCAGGACAGGGTGCCCCCCGGCCCCTCGGCCACCGGCGAGCCTGTCCTCAGAAGCGACTGCTCGGCAGCCGGTCCTGCCTGCCTTGCGCTCCGTGGGCGGGACTCGCGGCGGGCTGTGGCCACTCTGCTCCGCTGCCTGTGTCGGGCGTCACGCTCGTTTCGCCTCCTCTCCGTGTGGCAGCCATCTGGCCCCTGCGCGGCCCCACGCTGGCCTCCTGCTTGCCAGCACCCCGGGGCCAGCCTCCCCCAGGCCGCTGTGAGCGCTCCTGCCACGGCCTCCGTGAACGCGCGGCTTTTTCTGGGTCGCACCCGGGTGTGCAGTGGCAGTCACGAGCGGTGCGCCCCAACGCAGGCAGCGGCTGCCGGCCGCTGTCCACAGAGGAGGCCCCTTCCCGCATGCAGGCGCCGTGCAGGCCAGGCCCCGTTGGCCACACGCAGCGGCCCCGAGTCCGTGTGACCGTTCGGGGTGTCCACTGCGTCCGTTTCCCCGAGGACGATGAGGGGCTACGCAGCCCCCCATTGCTGCCCGAGGCGGCCAGGAGCCAGGTCCTGGGGTGGACGGAGCTGTCCGGGCACCTGGTGTGGACGCCGCCTCCTGACAGGTCGGGCTGTCAGCAGGTGCTGGAGTGCCCCCTGGTGGCAGAAAGCGACTCGCGTGCGGGCCGGCGGCTTCTTTAAAGACGTGTTTGCTTGCGTTGCTGGCTTTTGTGAGTCAAAGTCTGTCGCCCCGGCTGGAGGGCAGTGACAGGGGCATGGCTCAGCGCAGCCTCGGCCGTCTGGGCTCAAGCAGTCCTGCTGCCGCAGCCTCCCCATAGCTGGGACTACAGACATGTGCTACTGGCTAACCTGTTTTACTTTTTCCATAGAGACGAGGTCTTGCTGTGCTGCCCAGGCTGGTATCGAACTCCTGGGTGCAAGCAATCCTCCTGCCTCGGCCCCTCAGAGTGCTGGGATTAGAGGCGTGAGCCAACACCTAGCCAGGGACCTTCTTGTGTGGATCTCAAAGCTAAAATCAGCCCTCCTAGAAGAGTGTTGTCGCTTTAAACTTTTTTTTTTTTTTTGAGTTGGAGTCTCACTCTGTCGCCCAGACTAGAGTGCAGTGG